GCCCAAATAATGGTATCAACCTCCCTTCCCCAGAGGAAGTAAACAGATGGTAAAAATAATGAAATCATCTGGAGTACTCATCCAACACATGTTGTTACTTGTCCTTAGAGGACAAGACCATGAGCTGTTTATAAGGCCACCAAAGTGTCTGGGCTGTTTAATCCTACAGGCAGTGTTCTAAGATATGAGTCTTCCTGAGTCAGCAAAGAGGACCCAGCATCATGAAACTACAAATCAGGACTTGATGGGCCTCTATTAAAAACTGTTTTGTATCAGCATTTCTGGACTCCCTGAAAACACTATAAAATACTGAACTTTAATTAGTAATGTAACAAATGAGAAAATGCTATTTTGTTACCATGAACCTAAATAGCAGAGATTCTCCAAAGCTAATGACTTGATCCCAGAACAGGCACTACAGTGGGGACACTCATGCTGCAGTAAATTATATGTATACTCAAAGAGCCAAAGCAAGAGAGAGTGTGTGTGTGTGTGTGTGTCCTGGGTTCACTTACCATGCAAGTGTATGTACAGGCCAGAGACTGATATCAGAATATCTGCCTGGACCACCTCTCCACCTTGCTTTTGGAGATAGCATCTCTCACTGACCTTCAGTGGCTGGGCTAGACTAGCTGCACAAGGAGCCTCCAGACCCCGCCTGTCTCCATCCACCAGTGCTGGGTAACTACAGGTGCAGGCAGCCTCAGTTAGTTGTATCTGTTTTTTTGTTTGTTTGTTTGTTTTTTAGACAGGGCCTTATTCTGTAGACCAGGATGGCCTTGATCTCACAGAGATCTGCAAGTCTCTGCCTCTGCTTCCTGAGTGCTAGGATTAAAGATGTATGGGTGTATTTGGGACTGGAGAGATGGCTCAGCAGTTAAGAGCACTGGCTGTTCTTGCAGAGGACCCGAGTTTGATTCCTACCACACACATGGCAGCTAACAACTGTCTATAACAACTGTACATAATTCCAGTTCTAGGAAATCCGATACCCACTTCTGAGCTCCTCGAGCATTGCATGACATGGGTGTACTTACATACATACAAGCAGTATACTCATACACATTAATAAAAATAATAAATGAAATATTAAAAAATAATAAAGGTGTATGACACCACACCTAGCTTACACTCGGCCTTTATGGTGGATGTTGGGGATTGAACTTGTCTTCATGTTTGCACAGCAAGCACTTTCCCACTGAGCCCTCTCTTCAGCCTTGCAAGGGAATACCTTTAAAGGCAAAATGAGGAAAATTCTACAAGTTGTGTATGAATACAGTAATATTTGCTTACAAGCATCCGTAACAAGGGTGACATTGGTCCAAGAATGGACAGGTGGTTGTTGGTCAGATGTTGTTCTGGTAGTATTTTCTGTGAAAATCTGCCATGATCTTTGCAAGGTTTGGGCTCTTAGCAGAAGTTTTTGTGATAATTTTTTGTTATTTTCATCTTACATTTCTTTTTGTTTTTAAGAAAGAAAGGAGTTTGTTTTGGCTTATAGTTCCAGAGGGGTTACAGTCTCTCCTCTTGGGGAAGTCTTGAAGCAGGAGCAGGAGGCTGGCCTGGCAGTCTGGAAGCTGTCTGACCACATTTCATCCACACATAGGCAGCAGACGGCAGTTTTTTGGGTTTTTTTTTTTTTTTTTTGGTTCCTTTTGAGACAGGGTCTCCTTGTACCACAGCTGGTCTACATACTCACTATGTAGACCAGGCTGGCCTTGAACTCACAGAGATCAGCCTGCCTCTGCCTCCCAAGTGCTGGGACTAAAGGTGCGTGCCACCACACTCATCCTGAGCTGTTGTTTTTTTAAATCAGGAGACATGCATGAGATACTCTCCTTCAAACCTCCCGGCTTTACTTTTTTGTCTAGGGTTTAACATATAAGGCTTAAATTTTATTTTGGCAACTTTATAAATTACCCATAGTAAAAAACTCTGGAAAGAAAAAGAGGAGACATGCACTTAGATGTTAAGTTTCTAGGACTTTGACCAAGCAACTGATGCTGGGAATGAAGGACACCAGCCTCCTCAGCTTTTACTTCTGGTCCTCCTGAGTTCAAATCCTCTGGTGGACGTGCTCCAGTACAGATTTCCTCTACAAAACCTGTATTTAAACAAAGCAGAATCCCCAGGTTTGCCCCAGGCAGTGCACGTCGCAACCTTACCTCACGTTTCTTTTTCTTTTTAAATTTCTTTTTATTTTATGTATATGAGTGTTTTTCCTACACGTATCTAAGTGTACCCATGTCATAGAATGCCCATTGAGGCCAGAAGAGGGCACTGGATCCCCTGGAACTGGCATTATGGATGGCTGTTAACCACCATGTGGGTGCTGGGAACTGAACCCTGGATCCTTTGCAAAAGCAGCCAGTGCTCTTAACTGCTGAGCCATCTCTCTAGCCTCCTTACCTTGTGTTTCTGTTTCACAGTAAAGCTTAAGGACAGGACCGTCCTCTTGGTGGGGTCTTCATACCCTCTACACATGAAAACTAAGTTCTGCAGCCTATTGAGCATGCTGAAGCAGTATCAGGCTTATGATCGTCCCAAAGATGGTTCCTTCATTGGCTGAAAAGGTGACAGGTGAGCATGACCAGTTGGAATGACCCCACTCAGCTCCAGAGATCCACACATTTTACCTGTACTGTGAAATACTTTGCAGTGCCAAACAACAGCAAGAGAACAGAGCACAGGGCAGCACAGGACACCCAGCCACAGGCTGCGGAATTAAAAAACAAAAACAAAAACCACTCTACAAACTCCAAATCCCGGTGACCTGCGAACTTGCACTCGGAAGAGCCAACAGACTTTTGGGAAGGGGACTCTTCTATTCATTCCCTGCCCTAAGGGGGGCGTGTCCTCATTCTTGAATGCTTACCCTTTCTCCAAGGCTCCTACAGACCCCACTTCCTAGTCATTTTTCCTGCTCACTCTCCCAAAGCAGTTGACAGGTCATGAGAAGAACTTTGAAAAGAAGCTCTTAAAAAAAACTTTTTTTTGAGATAGGGTCTTCCTATCGTTGACTTGGAACTCATTATGTAAACTAGGTTGGTCTTGAGCTCTCAGAAATCCACCTGCCTCTGCCTTCCAAGTGCTAGGATTAAATAAGTGTACCACCATACCCAACTTAATCAAAGAGATCCCCCTGCCTCAGCCTTTGGAATGCTGGGATTATAAGTGCATGTCACCATGCCTGTCATTTTTAAAGATTAATACAAAAAAAAAAAAAACATAAGGGTAGGCAGTATGCTTAAACCAATTGTTTAGGTAGAATTATTTTATTTTATTTTATTTTTTGAGACAGGATCTTATGTATCCCAGCCTTAAACTCATTATGTATCCAAGGATAGCCTTGAACTCTGGATTCTCCTGCCTCTATCTCCCCAGTGCTGAAATTACAGGTATGTGCCACCAGGTCTGGTTCATGCAGTGCCATGAAGCAAGGCAAGGGCTTTGTGAATTTTCGGCAAGCACTCAACTCAACTGACTAGATTCCCAGCCCTTGAACACCCCATTTTAAATACATTTAAAACTTCACGATACGTCAATCATGTCCCTATTCAGGACTTGCTTAAAACCATGTTCCTCCTTTAAACACACACACACACACACACACACACACACACACACGCACACACAGGATCAGTGCACAATGAGAGAACTCTCCCCCAGTTAAATACTTTTTGACATGAACCCATTCAGGACATCAGTCACTATGAACACTTTTGGCCACTGCAGACAGCACCGCACCAATGGCTTAGCATCGATGTCTGGCATCCAAGGCAAATATTCTGCAGTCATGTTTCCTTTTTATGTAATTCTGGCTCAGGAATCCGATACAGAGCAGCAGAGAAATAAATTATGTTGCTGAGGCTGAAGATGATGCACAGAAGTATGGCTGCCACTATCTGAGGGAAAGAGAAGGTTCTGGAGGTGGCCAAGAGCCATTCCTTCCTTAGAGTCTTGTCCAGAAGGATGGCTTCCATCTGCAAGTGTGTAGCCAGGATCACACACACATGAAACAGCTGGTGACTGTGACCTACAGCAAACACACAAAAGACCATCAACATTACCAATCAGGACCGGCATGATGGCTCAGAGGGTGAAAGTGCCTGCCGCCAAGCCTGAGGACCTGAGTTCAATCCTTGGGACCCACATGAGGAAAGAGAACACAGACTTCCACTAGCTATCTTCTGCCCTCCATATACATGTTGTGGCATGCACACACACATATGCACACACACACACACACACACACACACACACACTTAACAAAATGTTGAAAAAAAAGAGATCGTCAAAGAGGTGTATGAACACAGGCTATGATATAAATGTTAAAAATGGGATGGTTATGTGAAAGGAGTTAGACAAGAGACCAGGCAGACAAGCGACCACATATGACTGTATTTATTTATTTAGGTTTTGTTTGTTTTTTGAGACAGAGTCTCTCAGAGCCCAAGCTAGCCTTGAATTCAATATCTAGCCAAGGATGCCCTTAAACTTCTGATCTTCCTGCCTCTACCCTCTGAGTGCTAGGATACAGGCTTGTATCACCACACCAGTTCTATAATTTCACTTATAAGAAGGGGGCCTGGGAGATCACTCAGTGGGTAACAGCATTTACTATGCAAACATAAGGACCTGAGTTCAAATCCCAAGCACACATACAAAAATCTAGGTATAGTCTGGCTTGCCTCTAACCCCAGTGCTGTGGAGGGCAGAGATAGTATTACCGGGTTTACCTGCTACCAGCCTAGCTTCCAGGTTCAGTGATCTTATCAGATCAGATCACACAAAGCCTATCTGGTCACATCTCTGAAGCATGTGAAAGGGAACCTCCAGCTAGAGGATATAAGCAGCTTGAAGAGAACCTAGGTATTTGCTGTGGTGTGGACAGTGACTGGCCCTTTGAGTCTCATGGTCCTTAGTTAAGGAGCTCTTATGCCAAAGGGTTGTCACCTTCAACAGAAGCCACCTAAAGGTGTGGTGATCATTAATACTGTCAACTTGACAGGATCTAAAATTACCTAGGAGACAAATCTCTGGGTATATCTGGGAGGGAGTTTCTAGGTTGGGTTAACTGAGGAAATAAGACCCACCCTAAATGTGGTGGCCCCATTCATGAGCTGCAGTCTGGAATGAATGAAAAGGAGAATGCAGGCTGAGCACTGGCATTGTCTCCCTCTGCTTCCTGGCTGTGAATGCAATGTGACCAGCTGCCTCCTGCTTCTGTGCCATACCTTCCCCACCATGATGGACCAAACCCTCCAACTGTGAGTCTGAATAAACCCTTCCTTCCTTTTGTTACTTCTGTCAGGAATTTTGCCACAGTGTAACAGATACACGTGCCTTCCTTCCAGCCAGTATTAGAGCCAAGAGGGACAGCAGACAGAGCCCCACCCAGCCTGCCCTTGGAGAGATGGGGAGGAGCTCCCCCAGCAGCTAGGAGCCCTGTCCTCTGACACCTTCTCCCCACCCCATACCCTCTCAAGTCACAGTGAGTTCTGCTCCCTGGAGCATTACATGGCTTCTGTAAGTTCTGGTCCCACCGCAGCTCTGGAGTTCCTGGGTCAGGAGGTCTGAGGTAGGGTCTGGAAGCTACATAGTCTTAGGAGACCCTGCTGATGCTGGTGGTCAGGGCCACACCTGAGACCCACAGCTCTTCCACAACCCCAGGCCCTCCACTCACCAGGTTCAAGATATACCTTTTCCTCCTTTGTATCACTGGCTGCTGTGGGGTACCTTCAATACCATCTGCAGTACTGTCTTTCCTCTTCCTCTTTATGACTGCCCCCAAAGTTCATTTCATGCCAGGACACCAGGTTACAGGTGCCAACGGGATGGTCACTTACTAGGATGCTTCAGAGTCCTGGGCCTGTCCACCCCCATCCTCCCTGTCCTCCCTGGCAGTGCACTGGCAACATAATGGTGGCTTCAATCAAGGTGTCAAGTCACCCTTTCCCTGTCATTCACCATGTCTGCCACTTACCATGGCCTGTGTCTGCATAGCTCCCTCAAAGGTGGCTCTACTCCAGATCCTCTGCCTTGCAATCTCATGCACAGTGTGAAAGACACCCCAGCCCAGTCTAAAGAGTCAGCCCTGTGGCAGGGTCGCTTCCTTCCCCCCTCCACACCCCACTCACCGATGTAGTCAAAGCGCCCAGGGGCCAGGCGCTCTGGCAGGTGAGCAGAGTACAAGAAAGATGCCAGGAGGGTCATAACCATGTGCTTCTGGTGGTACAAGATGGCTTCATTTCTTGAACTCTCCTCTGGTAACAAGAAGAGCTGTAGGCATTTAAAGAAACAGAAAGCCTTGAGAAGAAGCTCAGTCTTGAGCAAGCTCACTTCCTGTCCAGACCCAGATCTCTCAGCACGGGGGCACAAATGCCACAGGCCCACCCAGCCCTCACCTCCTCAGGTCTGTGGCCAGGAGGAGGGATGCTCTGGGATGGGGGTGGGTGGTGAGAAAAGAGGAAGGAAGGAAGAGATGTGCAAAGAAAGGGAGAAGAAGAATCCTATTAGAATTATTGCTGCTCTTACTGGGAATAAAATACAAGAATAAAAAGAGCAGTTCACATATAGCCTCATTTTTTTTTTTTTAATTTTCTTTTCTTTTCTTTTTTGGCTTTTTGAGACAGGGTCTCCCTGTAGCCTGGAACTCACTATGTAGACGAGGCTGGCCTTGAACTCAGAGATCCATCTGCCTCTGCCTCCCAAGTGCTGGGACTAAAAGGGTACACCACCATGTCTGGCTCTAGCAGAGTCAGAACTGATGCTCATAATTAAGGCCTCAAGCCTTGGCAGGCAAGCTGGCTAGATGACTCAGTGGGTCAAGTGGCTTGCTGCTAAGCCTGACAACCTGAGTTCAATCTCCAGGACCCACATGATGGAAGGACAAGAACTGACTCTATCAAGTTGAACCTAAGACCTGTGGTTTATATGCACATGCACACACACACACACACACACACACACACACATTCATGCATTATATTTAAAAACAAAAAGGCTTGGAAGGCCTTCTAAATAATCAAAAACCACTGGCCTACCTTGGTGACTTGGGCTTGTAATCCCTAAGACAGGATGATTGAAAGTTTAAGGACTATGCAAGACAGAGAGCTAGTTCAAGGCCAGCCTGTGGAACTTAGTGAGACTCTGTCTCAAAATAAAAATAGGGGCTGGAGAGATGACTCAGTGGTTAAGAGCACTGACTGCTCTTCCATAGGACCTCAGTTCAATTCCCAGCACCCACATGGCAGCTAAAACCATCCATAACTCCAGTTCCAGGAGACTAGACACACCCTTCTGGCCTCTGTGGACACTGTAAAACACAGGTACACTTATATGCAGGCAAACACTCATACACATAAAAACAAATTAAAAAAAATAAATACGTAAATATGACTGGGGATATAGCTCTATGGTACAGCACTTGCTTAGCATGGGGTCAATGCCCAGTATCACCTTCCCCCACCAAAAAAATGTATGGCCATTATACATTTCAAAGTTAAGTAGAGGTATTAGTTTTTTTTTTTAAATTTAGATTT